TACCGTCCTTTAAATAAAATAATTATTCTTATTCGTTTAATAATTGTGTATAACAAAAAAAAAAGGCCTCATCAAATACAATGCCAGTATTATAATTAAATAATTTGGTAACATTTTTGTGTTCGTGTTGCAGCTTCAATAAAAAAATAAAAATTTTAATTTATAATAGTGAGAGTCTTGAATAAACGGTATAAATTATTTCGGTTTTTGATTTGATGGATTAAATCGTACTGAATAGAGATGACCTTATTAATTAGGTCAAAAATCGATCATTAGTTTATGAGTTTTGGTCCTTCAGGTTGTAAAGCCTCTACAGTAGATTAAAATAGTATGTTATGTAACCAGTAGGTATTTGTTCACTGGTCTATTGATTACTATTATTTTAAGTATAAGCCTTGAGTCAAATTGATAAAATTCCAATTTCGTACTAATTATGTCTAGAAACTGTCATTTTAAGCTATAAATCTATACTTTGGTACAAGGTCTGTATTGGGATATTTGAAAGTAAAATAGGTATTGCATTATAAACTAACCTTACAGCGAGTGTATCTTTGTGAGATGCCCCTCTGTACGGATCTATAATTTATTATTATTATTATTATGACCGTTAGTAAATCTTCTAAGGGTAGTATATCCATTATATTCATAGTGACCATCAGGGTATTTTGTTCATTTGACTCTGCGTATTGCTTCCACCATCGTATCATTATTATGAGTATATTATGGAAATGGTTTTGAATTGCTGCCGGTGTGTTCTATATTATTAAATTATTCACAGCGCCGCGTTTCCATGGTGATTTATATGTAACTCGTATATTAAGCGTCGTATGGTTTCGATTACGGTTAAAAAAAAAAACGGTTCACTTAACTTTTTTGTTATTTTTTCTTTAGTAATTATGTGTTAAACGTTTTAACGTTATTATAATATGTGCGCTTAATTACGTCTAACCCGGTTGAAAATCTCTTTTCAGCCGTTCTATGTACGTAATCGCTTAAGGGGTTTGCTGCGTTAATTTAAGCTCATTTTTAGAGGCTTAATACATGAACACATTTCTCTCGAACGAGCACGCCAGAAAAATCCAACGGTTTGGTGTACCGCTAACCTGGAATATTCTAAATAGTCATAATCATTTTTTTTTGTCTCCTTTATTTTAATATACAAGTGGCAGAAATGTATGTTCGTTGCCTTTCTTCACGCTACAACGCAGCTATAATGGAACCCTAGTCACGTCCTCGACCCTCTAATCTGTGATTGTGCCAGCCGTCTGGTAGAATATATAGACATTGTCAAAGTTATGGCTTTTGAGCTTCGACGCGAAGCCGTGATGGTTCTACAGTGATGTGTGTTTTTTATTTTTTGCGTGTTAGGCGTTAGCATGTATGCGCATTAGCATTGCCAGTTTGTGTTACACGGTGTTGTATTGATCAGCAGCAACTCTTGTGGGCATAGTTTGTTTTTAGTTGGTGCTATAAAGGCGGTGGTTTTAACTAGAAACTACACGGAACAAGTTAACCCTCCCGACGTGAAAATTGAAAAAACCCTTAAAAATAATGGGTTTCGGGGTTGTTTTGCAGGTCAACCTGACCGGGTCGACCGGTAACGCCACAACTTTGTACTTTTTCATGTGTGCCGGCAAACAAATATTTTTAATAGTAGTTTTCCTAGAATTATTTCCAAACTCCAGCTACGGGGTTAATCGTCGGACTTATTCTTTATACTTGTTTGTTGGGTTTATTCGGCGAACCTTTAAATTGTTTACGGTGTTTTTTTACCGTTTGACGATATCGGTCAATTCAACATTGAAAGCATCGTTGTTGCTAATTACAGTGGCTATTGCGGTATTGGAGAGAGAGGCGACTTTTACGTGTTTATACGGATTTTTCAACAAGTATGGATATTCCTTGCAAACAAATACATTTCATCAGCGTACTCGCCCGAGAGAAAGACACGATGGGGGTGGGCGGGGCGGAGGGGGGGGGGTTGGCTTTATACAAATGTTTAAAATCCTCTAGTGCCATAAATGGGCTAATCTCCTTCTCTCCCTCTCTGTCCTCGGGTTTTTCAAATAAATCATCTTGCCCGTTTGGACGACAAATATAGTTTTTTATGATTATCATCCCGGCCCTGTGGGTGGTCCGTGCAATAACTTGCTCGAAACGCCGCCGTTAGTTTTCATGGCGTTGTTTTGTTTAATTCTCGTGTTTTAATTACTGTAATTTCACTTGTATTCGTCTCGGACAGCAGGTATTATTATTATTATTATGTACACACAGCGTATACACGCCAAAATGGCCAACCCCGGCGTTTCCACGATAACGCTTTGGAGGCGCTCACTAAATGCCCACGACCCTCGCCACCCTCTCCCCTTTAATATATTTTTGTATTTAGAGGCTTTTCGTTGTTCTCGACACGATACCGGCGCGAAACGGGAGAAACGGGTACAACCGGGCTGTCGCACAGCTATTAAAGTAATGGATTTGTGTTGAATCTGTGTTCCAAGAGAATACTATAAATAGTAATTACCTGTGCGGCAACGGTGGTTTATATTATACATTTGGTAATTGCTGTGGTCTGGCTATAATATGACTGTAAGGTAATTTTTCATGTGAAATCGAGACAAACGTTTTCACTTACGTTTCAAATTTTCAATACGGGTTCTAAATACTAAAAAAACTTATATTTGCAGTTATGGCTCAGAAAGTTCATTGGTGTACGCAAACCAATTTTACATAATTTTCTATTCAACATAACTGATAAATCACAATAAAATTAGCTACACGTGTTCGCCTATAGAACTCTGGAACGCTTTAAGAAAGGATTTTCGTTAGTAAAATGATTCCGATAAGGGTCTTTGCGCTTACCTTTATAGTTAAAGCACTGGCCCATCCTCTTCAAAAAGCACGCCACTGGATTTCCAGAAATCTCTTAAAACTCATTGTGCTTGCGTGTTGTAATGAACATACTTGTCCCGTCCATTTTTGTTTTATTGTCATCTTGGACGAAATCTGTTCGAAACACGCGTACAACTCTCAGGACAGTGTGCGGCCTTTATTGACCGTCCAGAGAGGATTACAGGCTGCAGCAGTCGAAAGGAACCGAGCAAAGACTTGTATTTGTCAGACGTGTTGTATGGTGGTGTGTAATATTTTATTTTTGCCCTCAATAGTAACCGTAAGGTTCACAATGAAAAGGATTTTTCACGGCCTCGAGTTTCTCGGGCTCGACAAAAGAGAGAAGCTTTTATCCAGAATCCACTTAAAATGGGAAACACTTTAACCTCCATGCCGAATGTTACTTGTTAATTTATTGATTTCGCAGGGGATGCGTACTGAATTCATAAAAGCTTGTTTACGCATACAAATATATATATATATAAACAGTTAACAGTATGGTCTGCGTTCCAATAAATACTTTATGTACATATGTAAACAAAAGATGTTGTTTAAGTCCGTTTCGGAAATGTTTCTTTAACCCTTTCAGTTCCAGTGTGCACTATGGTATATCTTTTGTTTGGTCCGTTATTATCAGTTGACAGTAAGGTTAGATCTAGTGCGGAATTCATAAATGTTTATGAACATTTCTACTATCTAAAATCTTCTATAATATTTATATATTCTAATAAATTCTTTTAGTAACTTGGCGAAAAAAAAAATTTGTAATTCATTAAATGCCTTCACTACACCATAATAAAGCATTATATTATATTAAAAAAAAATCCAGCCTAATTAATTTGGGTCTGAAAGGCTTAAAGAACGGCTTTCGAACAAAGAAGAAGAAATACGTTTCTTTCGAGCAAACATAATTTTACATTTGGCGTTTTCTTTATGAAGTCAAAAGTTACAAAAGTTCACCTCTCTTCTCTCGGAGTCGAGAAAGGGAAAAACCGACATCAAACAGATTTTTCGAGTTTTAACATTTACGCCTTAAAATAACTTCATAAAAAATATATAATATATATATATATATATAAATACATTATATATTAATATAATAATATATTAATATATATGTACACATATAGTCAAAATAACTTTTCACTATTCATTAAACTATAGCAATGGCAAAATACAAGTCAAATGGGGTATTTTAACGACAATTGGAATAAATGTAAATTATATTTCCGAAATAATATAATCGAAAATAACAGTAATTTGAATATACCATGTATTACACAATAAAACAAAACTCTAAAATTGTTGTTCATTTTTTTGTGAACAAATTGTATATATGTAAATTTGTCCCATTTGTTTACCATAGTACTTGACATAACACCATACACAATACTACTTTGTCTTTCAAACGTATCTCTCGAGTTAATACTAAGCGTGGGATAAAACTCTTAATTGTGATGTTATGTGGGATGTATTATGTAATGAACATGACTTCGATCACTAACCTAAAGTTTACACTTGTTGACACTGAAATAACTTGGCCCTTATCCAATGCCACTCTCTTTGAACAGCATTTTCGTTTAAACGGTCGTTACTTTAACGTCATTAACGTAAAAACTCTTGTTTTCCCCCAAAAAAAAAACAGTCTCATAGAAAATAGGATTATGAATAGAACGCTAACGCAAACATCTCAAAACATTAACACATAAATTTAAAAAGTTTCTTGGCCATAATATTTGCTTTTTGTCCTTATTATTATTATTATCAGTGTTCGGAATATTCCTTCAGAGCACTTAATGCATTCCTATTTCCATAGATTAAACTGTTGGGAATGTCAATTATTAATTTATAAATCATTTGTGAATTTAAAAAAATAAGATTTTAGTCTACTTCAAATGGAATACATAATTTGCTGTTTTCTAATAATATTAGTTTAATATGCAATTGTTTAAAAACGTATTATGCCTTCCGAAAACATTCGTATATAACTGTGCATTGTGTCATGTCAAGACTTCGTATTATGCATTAATTAGAAATTTCAAAAAAAATTCTTATAGTTAATCAATCATTTTGTTATCTATGTTTTTTTATCATATATTTTTTTGCAGATTTTCCATGAATGGCTCTGAATATGTGCAAAAAACAAACAACTTTTCAACAATGAAGTCGACCGGATTGTGTACGTTTTACTTTTGGGTAAGTGTGTTTGTCTTTTTATTATTTCTGCGTGCGTTTAGTCGATAAGTTTTAGATATGATTTTCCGGCATGAATAATATAATAATATATTATTATGCAAATATTAGATAACGGGAATATCACTGAAAACATTTTTTACTGAAATTTGCTTAACCATCTCTTCCGTTAGTTTAGCCGAAACTGATATCTTTGCCTTGGAGGCGTATTGTACAAATATTGGATAGAAGTAAAGACAATTATTTTTTATTGAGAAATATAATATAGTTACCGCGTCACCGTCGATAGTATACATTTTATATATAAATACATAAAAACAGAATGATCAAGATACCACATTTCTCTATTATAATTGAAAAAAATTGTTGAAATGTTCTTTGCTGCGTGCATAGCAAGAATTTTCGGTCTTCGAATTCATAAATTCGTTACTTAAGGGGATTGTATGCGGTTGGTTTTAAAGGAGTTTTATACAGGCAATATCTAAGAAAAATGTGGTTTTAATACATTTCGACCATGTCAATTTATCGGTTAATTTGTATAAGCTTCATGGTATTATTTTTAATTTAAATCATTTTGTCTATGAGTAAAAGCCATTTTAGTTAATATAATATACATTTTTATTCCATCGCACAGGCTGAACCAATGATCTGAAAACAGATTTGAATTCGCCATGAAGTTTTACTTGAGATCGGTCAGTGTACTTTTTTGATGTCCTATTCCTACTATGTATAAAACACGTTTGAACGTTGTATAAAATTTCAAATTTGTGGTGTTTTAACAATGGGTGTTTTACAGGGAAGATTGATCACACCGTTGATATTATGCCGTTTAGTTTTTAACATACTCTGCGGTTTTCACTATTCCAAAAATATCAAAAACGGTTATTATTTGTATTATTATTATTATATGTATTATTATAATAAATCGACAGGGCCATCCAGAGCACGTGCCTTAGGATAGAAAATATAGTTACTCAGACGTCACACTAGTCAAGTCGCACAACGTTGGTTGCGTCACAACTACCGCCTTCGGCTTGCGCTTTTGGATATTTTCTGTTATTAGCGGGTGTCAACTGTCGCCAAGCATTGTTCTTTTTGTCTCGTTAAAACCACCGACTATTTTGAAACAGCCACGCCCTCGCAAATAGAAAAAAAAGCGAGTATAACACTCCTCTGTTTCATTGACAACGGTTTACAATAGTGTTCTCTCTCTGTCTGCCTTTATCTTGGCCGGGTAAGCATATAATATTATAGTATAGTATATAGTATAAAGAAACGACGAGTCGTTTCGGTTAGTAGTCGACATCGTTGAAAATGAACAGCTTTTTTAAAATTAGTAATCATAAACAGATTAGCAGTATTAAAAAAAATAAAATACCTCTTGATAGGGAATCAAGATAAATTTTGGTTGAAAATTATTGTTGAAATGACAATACTCTTTTCAGCCTGATTTACCGAAAGTGTATGAATCTTGTTCGTTAAAATATTTAGGTATATTTTATTAGATAACAGTGCCGTGGTAATCTTTAAGTTACTAACAAAATTATAATTGAGCTAAACAATTTTAATTGTCAATAAAGTAGGTAATTCCGTAAAAGGGTGTATATTTTTTTAATTTATTAGTTTATCGAATTTCACATTCAACCACGTATAAATGACAAATGCCTAAATTGCACATTCTGCATTATTTTCCAACGTTACTACAAGTTTGGCAGTTTCTTTTCTCTTATTATTTCTTAGAATTTACTCCTTTCCAGTTCCTTGTACTTTGTAAACCCTTGTAAGCTTTTAAGACTTTCGACTTTTCAACGACCGCGACACCCAATCTGTTTTCATACTACAGTTTTTTTATAAAGAGTAACGATGCAGTTTAAGATCAGAAATTCTTGTTCGCTTAAAATGTTTTTGTGTAAATTAAAAAATGTATGAAGCAACCGTCTCAGAAACGCTGTATTATTATTATTATTATTATTATTATTAGGCACTGTAACCGATTCACAAATCCACTAGTTAACTGTCGGATACCATTACAAGCGTTTTATTGTCGACTAATTTACCCAATATCTCTTGGTAGCTGTGGTAGTTACATGTGATTACATAAATATATATAACTTGTGGTTATAAATGTACACTTTGCCCACTCCCTTCGCCTACCTATGCTTTTTGTCACATGTCACGAGTCTATATTAATAATGATGTAACACGGGTGCCGCTTCATTTCGATTGATTTTAATATATCACATAACAAAAAGCAATTAATTAATCGAATTGTGACATAAACATTTACTCTCTCGACCTATAACTCTGTAATATAGTACACTATTATATTGTTTACAACATACACATTACATCCACCCTTAATTTGTTTGCACAGCTGCTGTCGAAATAAATGATAACATTATATTTTTCCTTCGTGGATTAGCATAATTTATAGTACATAAAACCTTTCAGGGGAATTATTATTTTGCTAATGATCCATTTGTTGAGACTGGCTTTTTTACCGAGTTAGTAGTAATTTCTATAAATTAATCATACTTGTAAGTGCCTCATCACTTACGTCTATGTCCATTGATTTTACAATAATTAAAATCAGGCATTTATCCTATAATAGCTTCCCGGACAATAAATTACAAGCAATGTTCTTACTTGATCTGGTTTTTAATTAATTCCAATCATTTTATTTCTTAATACAAATTTTTAAAATTATTATTTACTAATATATGCGCTATTGTATAAAACTCAACTAATAGTTTCCAAGATAAATGTTAGCCGATAATTAAATTTTAATATTAAAAATATATTATACGGCTGTAAATATATTATACGACTGTAAATTATTATACTTATAATAACTTATAACATAATGTTTTGATTCTTTTTTTTTTTGCTTCAATGTATTGTGTGTAAGCCACGGGTTCCGTTTTGTGTGCCTGTATTTTTACAAAGATTGAGACGTCGGATAAAGTTTTTTTTCGTATTTTTATAAGTTATCTAGACCTTTCTAGCAATTCTTTGAACGAATTCCTCGACTACTATGTTTCCCAGGAGATCAGTGAAAACTGTTGGACATTGTCTTATTGCTCTGCAAGGGTCCTCCTTTATATATATATATAACTTCAATCTGAGTACCCAAGACTTTAAGTCCGACCGGCATTTCGGTTTAATTAAGTATAACTGTATTGCGGTACAACTATATAGGCGCTGTATAGATTAAATCCTCTTGGGATGTGACCTATACACACATAAAACGACTCTGATAAGTCTACGACGGTCGAGTATAATAAAAAAGATAATATTAAAATGTATAATAAACCCCTTATCTTTTTGTGTCGGTTGCACTAGTAGTACTAGAACAGAGTACAATAAAAAAACGTAAAAGTATTAAAAAGTTGCATGGACAAAGGAAACATTTATTTGTGGTATGTCTTATGTGTCTGTGTCCTTGTTCTTTTTTTTTATGGTTTTCGTTAGCTATCAAAAAACGATTTTGCTTATTGAAATTCTATCAGATCCACATCTAAAAGAATAAAAACCGAAATTGGCAACGTTAATGTTCGCATACTGGTGTTTCGGCATTTTCTTGTAAAATTTTCTTAATAACTCATGCAGTTAAATTTACCAATGTTTTTTCTTACTAGTCAATATATTATACTGATAGCTTGATTGACTAAAATTATCAATTTAATATTTAGGGAAGACCTTCCCCATGGGTGTATTATCTTCGTGCAGAGGATTTACAATTTGAAATACTTGTATAAATTTTTAAATTGTATGAGTGACTTTTCTTGTTATCCTGAAACAACGGATATGTTTAACCGTCGATAATAAAAAGGATCATTAAGTACCTACTCTCAAGCACTTGACCTTAAAACAAAATTATTTGTGTTATTTTAAAGGTTAATTTTTATTAGTCGTGTAATATCCTTTTGTGCATTGGCTTTAAATTATTTTTTTCGAGTTTATTTACTAATATCATTTTATTTCATGGCAGACAAATGTATATAATATACTTTGGTAAATATAAATGAAAAATGCGTAGTGACAACACTTCAGTAATAAGCTCAAACTCCATGATGAAAGGTGATATTGATAAGATTTGTTTATTTATATTAATAATTAAAAGGGATTGTTCACATCGAGTAATATAAACAATTATTCACCGGTCCGTTATCGGTAAATGTGTTTTATTAATAATCGTGTCTTTATTAAAAAAAAACATACATTTTTATCCTTGTCATATACGTTCGAGTTGAACCATTTTAATTTCGTAATTGCCTTTATTAATGTTCTCTTCACAAGTTCAAACAGTATTATAGCGTTAAATGACTTGACCTCATTTCATATAACTATCTATCTTTTTTTTTTTTTGGCATCACTAATGTGAAAAAAAAACCCTACCGAGTAATGGCGTCATTTTGCGTTCAGTGATTTTTCGTGCACTAATGAGAAAAAAAATGGAAGTCTGAGCCCTACACCTTTTGCAGTAGTTAACGCGGTCGTTGCGTTCCTAAATTTATCTCCTCCTCCTTGTGCTCTGTAGATCATTATCATAAATGCACTTCTCATTTCAAGATGCCAAGGAAATACCAGGGACAAGCTGCCTGCCCCCCTTATACCCTGGATTCCTGTTGCTAATTCATACAGCATATTTTATAAACAACATTATCGGTTAGTGGACCAACGAGTTCGTGAATTTAAGATTTTCTACAAAAGAAACTGGTAAGTGAGACATCGATGGATGGCAATCAGTAGTTTTCAGCGTGTCCCTGAAGTACATTTATTGCTTCTCTACCGACTCGGAGTTTGGAACATAGTCAGTAATCTTGTCGTTTATTTTAAAATCACTCTCTCGTTTGGCCTGCTCGTCGTTGCTTTTCGTTGTATATAACATAATGATCGTTTCCGCGTTTTCGTTTTAAGATTGCCGCGCAAAAACCCCGATAACGAGAAAAGACTTAGCCCGAGAGATTATCGAAACAGAGTGGGGGGAGGGAATCATTTTG